AATAACCATAGAAAAAATAAGAGAATGCACACAGTTTTTATTCGACAATACTTTCTTCTCATTTAATAATTATTTTTTTAAGCTAATCTTCGGTACGCCCATGGGCTCTCCAATTTCTCTCGTTTTTGCCGATCTTGTAATAGATGATTTGGAAACCGATTGTTTGAATTCATTAAAAGAATAATTTAATCACAGTCCTACTTTCTACCTCCGCTATGTTGACGATATAATACTCTGTAGAAAAGAAGATTACATAGATTCTGTACTAAATATTTTCAATTCATATCATCAGTCGTTAAAATTTACACATGAAATAGAAATAGATGGAAAAATCAACTTTTTAGATTTAACCATNATAGAACTTAAAAATACCCATAGAAAAAATTAGAGAATGCACAATTTTTATTCGATAATCCTTTCTTCTCATTTAATAATTATTTTTATGATCAAATCTTCGGTACGCCCATGGGCTCTCCAATTTCTCCCTTATTTGCCGATCTTATAATGGATTATTTGGAAACTGATTGTTTGAATTCATTAAAAGAACATTTTAATCTTAGTACTGCTTTATATTTCCTCTATGTCAACGATATAATACTCTGTATAAGAAAAGATTATTTAGATTCTGTACTAAATATTTTTAATTCATATCATTACTCGTTAAAATTTACACATGAAATAGAAACATACGGAAAAATCAACTTTTTAGATTTAACCATTATTAGAAAAAACAACCATGTTAAATTTGATTAGTTCCAAAAATCTACCTCTTCCAGACGAATGCTAAATTACTTTTCAGATCATTCAATAAACTTAAAAAGAAGCATAGTTTTTAATTTATTAAATCGAGCTGTATGACTATCGAGTAGAGACTGTTACAAAGCAAATATCACAAAAGTTAAAAAGTTACTATTACAGAATCATTATCCCGCAGAGTTGAGTAATAAAAACATAAAACGTAGATTAGAGAAACAAAAATACAGCCAAAAAATAAAAAATAAAAATGTTTCAATACATATAATACCTTCTGGTAAAATAGGCATACCATATGCAAAAAACAGCTACAACAAGATATCGACACCATTGAAAGACTACAATATTTTTTCTTATCCTATTATTAACAAAAAACTAAACCAAATTGTAAAATAAGGGAAAGATTAGACCGAGAAATGGGACGAAACCAACGTCATCTACAGATTTTATTGTAAATATCCAGGATGTGCAGCTTCTTATACGGGCAAAACAAAACGAGCCTTAAAATTTCGGACTAACGAATACAAAAATAATAAAAACATAGAATCAGTAGTTCATTCTCACCAACTTCAATATAATTACACGTTTGATTGGGACAATATAAAAATTTTAGACAGAGAATCTAACTACCATAAAAGGCTGATCTCTGAGATGATATACATAAAGCATGATAAATATAGTACTAATAAACAGGAAGACACATGTTTGCTCAATCGTACATACTTTCCACTATTCAAGAAACTTAAACACCTGTAGCTCGAGTTCATTACCTTCTTTTTCTACTCGGTTTCTGTTTATCGCGCTTATCTTTCTCCGTGCGAGTTCATACAGCTCTATTGACAGTTTATACTTACTCGCCGACGAGAAAACATGTGGTTCTCAAAACAACTAAATAAATTTTAAACGTACTGTACTTGCGAATTTAGTCAATTTAAATGTTAATATTCGTCTAAAATAGGTAATCCTTGTTGTCAACCTTCGTACGTGTGACATCGTTTGTGTGTTTCTCACAACAGTGCGTTTTTTGTATTTTTAGCTTTAGCCTGATGAGGTTGGCACACTGGCCAGCGAAACGTCACCAAATATACATCAATAAGTAAAGTATAATACTGTGTTTTATTTGTTTTTCACATTCACCTCTAACAGATTGCTGTTTTCCTTTTCAACATATCGACCTGAAAATTTTGTATATAATAATATTATTAACATAAATTGTATAAATCTTGAGACACCTGTTTCTTGTAATAAAAAATAGAATGTTACACTAAAAATAAGACTTGAATTTCTGTAAATAAACCAAATGATAAAAAAACTTTAGATTCAAAATGTGTTTATACTAAAAAAGCTAACAATTCATTAAAAGCTAGACTAGTAGTAAGAAGATACTAGCAAAATGATTCAATTATGATATTTATTAACCAGTTACAAGAATGCAAAGTTTAAAAATTTTACTTTCTTATTATTAAAAATAATTTAATCATCGGCCAAATGGATGTCAAAGCAGCGTTTTCTAACGGTAAAGTCAAATCTCAAGTATATATTAAACAGCTTCAAGGCTATGAAGATGGCTCTTATGAGGTATTAACATTAGATAAAACATTGTATGTATTTAGACAAAGCCGAGGAGTTTGGTATGAATTTTTTGATACTTATTTAAAAAGTTTACATTTCAAAAGAAGTGAGAATAATTGTTGCTTCTATATCTCAAATGATAGATGTAATAATATACATTTGATTTTTTTCGTGGATAACTTATTAATTTGCTGTAAAAATAAAAAAAAATTAAATTTTGGTTAAAGATTATTGGGTAAAAGGTTTTACATTGAAGATTTAGGTAGAATAAGTTATTTAGATATTAGCATCAATTATGACTATAAAAATGAAAAAATGACACTTGATCAGAAAAACAATATTACCCAACTATACCTGACATTAGCTTCAGTGTAAATTATTGAAGTAGATTTTGAAATAGTTATGATAAAACACATTTCAAATATGCTTTGGGAGTTTTTAAATACTTATTTTTAACAAAGGATTCACAATTAGTTTATGAAAACAGTAACAATAATAATATTATTGATTGCTTTGTCTAGTATGTTGCTTTCTATCAATAATTTAATTGATACAAAATCAATGACGGGCTATGTAATCGGAATGTATAAAAATGTTATTCATTGGAAGTCCGGAAAACCGAATAGTGTAACAACATCATCAACAGAAGTTGAGTTGGTAGCGTTGTCTGAGTGTGTGAGTGAATTAAAAGTTATAAAAGATTTAATGCTTGATCGGAGCATTTAAGTTTGCAATCCCATTAAAAGGCATGAAGATAATCCTGGTGCGATAAGTAAAGCTAGGTTTGAAAATTTTAATAAAAAGTTGAGATTCATTAAAACTTATTATCACTTCGTAAACAACAGTTTTGCGGAGCATGAAATTGATATTGGAAAAGTTGATTCAGAAAAAAATATAGCAGATATTTTTACTCAAGCCTTAGGTAGAAATAACTCCAAAAGATTTAAAAATATGTTGAATGTAAGGTAATTTGAGATACTAAAATTAAAATTTTATTATAAATTTAAGGAGGCGTGTTAGAATATAAGTAAATTCATATTAGATACATTTAACTAGTGACATTCATTATGCGGCACTAACACTGTAAGTGCAAGATGATACGTATAGGTACTTTGTATAGTGATATTGTTAGAGCCCACAGAACATGGCTGTTGCTGCGCACCCATGCTCTCGTAGAGTCTCTAGAACAATGAGACAGGAGATCTTTTAATCTTAATAAATCCTTATTTTTGTTGTTATACATATTTATTTAAGTGTTAACAAGTGTAATCTTATTGATATACTACCTCCTAGTACATTTATTTTGCAGGGTGTCCCCTATTCACTTAATTCAACTTTTTTATCATCTCCTTTTTAAAAACTATCTGTAATTTTTTTGAAAGCTTCTAGAATTTTTTGTATTTTTAAATAATACCATTTGATTTTATATGACTTGGACTTCAATAATTAATTCTTTTTAGTTTAAAATAAGCAAGTGAAAAAAATTCAAATTTTATCTCCGAACTCTTTGCAGAACAAAAAATCAAGAAAATCACTTAAAAAATGTTAGTTTCCTAAGTTTGCATGGGTAAGTAGGTATATGAATACTATTCATCATTTTTTAGAGCTGTGTTGATTAATTTTGATAAAACTACTATGTTTGATTATTAAGTGCTGATGTTAGTGCACTTTTGGGGTGCCAGATTAGGTGGGTATAAGCATGGAACACAAATAAATAAGAAAATAAATATAATAATCATTAACTTTAATTACAACAGGTACATTAACAATACCAAAAAAGGTCTTAATTTTCTAAACAATATATTTATACTGAGTTTTTTAGCACAATGGTAAGAAGTATAAATAGTTTCTTAACTTGTGTAAAACAATAATATTTAATGAACTTGAAGTAAAAAATAACAATAGAGTAACGAAAAGTCAATTATCACTGAGTATCACTATTGTGTTTATAAGCACTGAGTAAGGTAAAGAACCCAATACTTGACCAGACACCCATACTTGACCACAGTATTTACGTCATCTGCACATGTGCTAAAAAATAATTTTGTCATCTACACATGCGCAGAAATCAAAAATTAGGTGATCCACTATTGGGGTAAGAAAGGTACGTTTGTAAATTCTTAAAGGTGATTAAATTTTAGAAGGTAATCCTTTTTTATTTGCATTACTATAAAGTTAAGTAGTTTTAAGTTCAGTTAATTGTTTTATTTTCTTGGTCAATCAATTAAAGTTGTGTAGAGTGGTTGAGTATTGGGTCCTTTACCTTAAATCTTCATACCCTTGGACAAATATAATAGTGAAAGTGTCTGTGTGCACTTGATTGTCTCTCTCTCTCCCCTCTCTCTCTCTCTCTCTGTGCGTGTGTGTGTATGTAACTGTATATAATGTATCTTTGTGAGGGAGTTTGAACCAAGCATTGTTATGAAACGAGTTTTCATTGAATTTAAAACTGCATTAACCATACAACACTTGATTATAACACTGTTGCAGTGAAAGCACAAATAAAATATAAATAGTTGCAGTGAGCCTTATCGACTGTATTATGAGTCCTTCTGTGATTGATAGGTTATACTAATCTCACAACACTAGTGTTATATGAGCAGATTATTTGTATGAAACTTACTCTATGAGCATATCACTCTCAAACAGTATGTTATTGATACGGATATGGTATGATGATTAACTTGCTTCAAATACTAACTGAAGTGAGTTTGAGTATGAACTGTTTGAGATCTAGTTGTCAACTGAAATTTATGAGTATATATAACGGTAGGTGATGGAAAAACGCACGAACAACAAAAGCAGGCCAATCGCATACGCCAGCGTGTTAGAAAAGAGCGCGCAACTAGAAAACATTGAAAGTTAGTCACATTTGTAATTCGTGAGCCATGCAGTGCTGCCATCACATCTACTGTGGAAAAGTGCGCGTATTTATTCAGTGGGCTTTTCTTTTTTCAATCAAATTGTATTAGTCTTACAGAATCGATTCTTTTATTTACGATTTGTTATGCAAGAAACTATTCAAGATCTTATAATCTTAAAAAAAAAATATTGTCATTAAATTAAAAAATTCAGTTATGTAAGTAAGTTATATCATCAATAAGTTGTTAAAAGCTGAGTACTATTTTAAAGTGATAAAAAATAATATTTAAAAGACATTTAGGGTGCTTAAAAAAGATTAGAAAAAAAAGATGAAGAACAAGCTGTATGCCTATTGATTGGCATGTTTTTTTTGTCTTAGTAATTTCTATTCATTGTGTATTGACTTAACGATGAAGACGTGGGTATAAAAGTAATCCTTACTGTAGAGGCTTTTAGTAAAACATAAGATTTCACTAGGAAGCAATATAGAACAGGGTAAGTGGCAGGTTGGCAGTTACACTAAAGTGGCAGAAAGTTCATGCACAGTTAATAGGCCATTCAATTACTTTTGATAATAAACACATATTTAATGATTCTTTAGCTGTATGTGTATGCTGGAAGTCTTTTCTAATAGTTTTAAAGATAGTTTAAGTTCTTACAAGTTTTGAAGACTCATTTTAATAAGCTTGGTGAAGCTTTAATAGCGAAAACAGCTGGATTTTGTGCAAATAAAAGTCATGTAGAATTTATTTATGGACAAATTTTTTATCAAAGAATCTTTGCTTTAATGTAAACTTAATTATATCATTACAAAATTGTCTTATGGAAACTATTATGCTTTGTAGTAAGCATACGGCTTAACAACTATTAAAACTTTTATTATTACGCTTACTAATTACTTATTTTCACAAATTTTGGATCTTTACAGATACATGAGTTACCTAAACCTTCTTTTTCAAATAAGACTCTTAATGAGCTTCATATCGGCACTTTTGAAAATATTGAAACTGCCACTGAAGACACAAGTATAATCTTAGCTTTGAAAAAATTTGTACAAAGAAGAGTATCAGCATTACCAGTTATTGATAGGGAGGGCAAACTAGTCAATATATACTCTAAGTTTGATGTCATTGTAAGTAGTTAATCTTTGAGTAATATTTACTACAGTGCACTCAAATATAAATAATGAAATTTATAGAATTTAGCTGCTGAAAAAACGTATAATAACTTGGACGTGTCGCTAAAAGAAGCCAATGATCATAGAAATGAATGGTTTGAAGGAGTACAAAGCTGCAAGTTGAGCGAAACTCTCTTTGCAGTAATGGAGAAAATCGTCAAGGCAGAGGTAAGCTTGCCGTTTTTTATAATATTGAGTTTATAATTTATGAATATCATTAAAATTAAAATCCAGACGTAAGTCAATGACAGCTGTACGAAAACTGTAATGTCTTTTATCGATACTAAGCAGAAAATACTTGTCATATAATACAGGGGTGAATCTAAATGCTTGTATTGGAGGGGTGGGAGAGCGACATTATAAGACTTATCCTGATAAACTAGTTGTTTTCTATCAGATTTGTTGAGTGAAAAAAAGTTAGTTTATGCTGCAGTTATATAATTGTAAATAAATAAAAACATTGATGAATAACCAACTATAAAAGTGAGTTTTAATGCATAAAGTCGTTTAGGTCACTTAATAAATATTAGTGCTATTATACAAATATCTAGATAAGAAGCTGGCAACCACTTCAGTAATGAAGTTATCATTGCTGTATAAGTACGTATATGTTTCTTAATTTTATATAGATGGTGATCTATTGGCAAATATTTAAATCAAAAGTACTTAAAAAAACTAAGAAAAGTACTTACTTTTCTTACTATTGTGTAATTAATTGAAATACACAATTACTTGTACATGTGCATACAAATAACATGTGCATATGGTTGTGGGCCAATACTTTATAGTTGTATGAAAAATAATTAGCTGTGCAAGCTTTCAAGTCCGTAACAGTAAATTTTAATCTACCTAATAAACCTGTATGAGTATATTTATATAACTAACGGTAAAGTTAACAAGCAGGCTCATACTCAAAGTGAGCAAGTAAGCTATGGTGGTTTTAGCTCACCCCCCAATCCCTAGAGTAGTGGTGGGGGTAAGGCTAACTCGAGCTCAAACTACTACATGATCAGGCGGTAGGTGGTGGTGAAGAGAGAGGGTTACTCAAGCTTGTACTATTGCATGATCGAGCTATGAAATCAGAAGATCTTATGTTCTAACGCTTTCATGATGATAGCTATGAAGCCAGATGGTATCGTGCTGTAACCTAACTCTGGATGCCGATAACTGTAAGATTAGATGATATCGTTCTCCAATGTTCAAATAGCTTCCTTTCTTTCCATCTGCAAATTCAACTCTGGAGTCAGGATGGCCCTAGGTCTGTGGTGTAGGTTGTGCATACTTATAAGCTCGCTTTAACGTATAGTGGAACCAAAGGAAAAATGATTAAGCATGTACAAGTATTTCTTATCTGTCGATACATTTTTTCTCCTATTATTTTGGTAACCTGTACCCCAGCATTTTATTAAATTCCTCTTAATAAAAGAGGTGTCACTATGTGAGTTGCTAGAAAAAAATGTATGCTATTTGATTACAGAGAGCAAATCTACTTAGACAAACGAGTACAGGCTTACTCTTGTTCGACGCTGGTTCTAGCTCAGGAAAAAAAATAGCTTATTTGATAAAGTCATTTTAATCCATGCCATAATAAAAAGATCAAGAGAGGAAAGTCATAATAGATTTATAATAATTTGTATGAAACTTACTCTATGAGCATATCACTCTCAAACAGTATGTTATTGATACGGATATGGTATGTAGATTCAAAA